CACAACACATGAAAAAAACATCACCGACAAACAACATGCAATAATTTGGCTTCATGCGATTCCTAGAGTATTTTTGATTTTTTCACAAAAGAGAACAAACGGGATTGTGTTAAAAATTGTTTTAAAAACTACATTTCTGTTTTCGGTAATTTTTATTTTTTATTTTTAAACGATTATTTTCTCAGTTTTACCTTTCTAGAAATGCAATAAATAGGGACTAGAAATTTTATTTTAATTCCTAGTCGTAGACTTCTGGCTACTACTACTATTAGGAAAGACAAAAATCTGAGAGCCTCCTGAGTAGATGATCTCGAAGAAAAAATGATTTTACCGTGATATATTACCCCCTTAAGTGATGTAAAAGTAAGTATGATGGGCAGTTGAGAGGTTCGGGGTAGTAAGCAGCGGCCCTGTTGATTTTTATAGTTGATGAATGACATTATAATTTAGGTAGAAAAAAAACGTACAAAAAGCATTCCCCCCCCAAAAAATTGCTGCCGAAATTAGCCCTTTTCGGGTTCTAACATCATCAAGGGTTCCTACGCAGTACGCCCCGCAACGGCAATGAGGACACACGATATATATTACACAGGTCATCAAAGAAAATAATTATGAAATGGTGTCGAGACACCAAACATCAATTTTAGCTAATTTGAGGACGCTGAATCTGAAAATGACCTTAGTTTTTCTTGGTTAGCTGCCGTTTTTGTTGTAACGTCAATATGAAGCAGCCTAAAGAATGGATCAGTCCCAATAAGCAAGCGACATCTTGAGCAAAACAAAGCCTTCATTCTCGAAAGACCATGTTGTGTGTATGGTGGAACTGTGAAAGCATAATTCATTATGAATTGCTTGTTCTTAACCAAAAGTTAAATGCCAAGTTGTACATTCAACAACTACACCGTCTCTGTGAAGCAATTCAGCAAAAAACATCGAATCGGCGGCAGAGTGTTCTTCTTCAACACGACAACGACCGTTCTCACATCGCTAATATGACCAAAATTAAGAATTTGGATGGGAAATGTTGCCCCATCTTCCGTACTCGCCATCAGATGGCACCATCAGATTTTCATCTTTTTTGATCTCTCAAAAATGCCTCACGTCAAGAATCGGCAACCTCCGGCCCGCGGGCCTGATTACCAATGACTCTATTTTTAACATGAGAGACGAGGCTTTTGAATTAGACGATCTGCCAGTTATCTTTCATGAAACTTATTTTACCAAGTTGCGTTGCCTACGTTTAATGTCAAATAATGGATACATATTGGTTATGTCCCTTGGCTACAATAAATGATAATAGAAGCGAAAGGAACGATAAAGTAAAAGGGGCCAGGGAGGGACTGACATGCGAGGTAGCAGAAATCTTTCAATAACAGTTTCAAACCTACACGTCATAATTTCATCCATTTCACTATTTGAAGTATTTTGACGTTCTTTGAGGAAAAGTAATTTTTGTTAGTTGTTTTTTTAATTTTAGATTTTCTTTTGTTTTTCTGATTTCTCAATGTTTATTTTCATTATGGTTTTAAATATTTAGGTTGACAGGAGTCTGCATATGTAATTTTCCTTAATTTTTCATTAATGGCCTTCGTCCGGCCCGCGACCCGTCATTATAACACGATCCGGCCCGCGGGGTCGAATGAGATGCTGACCCCTGCCTTAAGTTTTTTAAGTTCAATACTGATGTTGAATCGAGGGTTTCAGCTCAAAGCCAGATTTTTATCGTCAAGCAAAAGAAAAAAAAATTGACCGATGGGAAAAAGTTATCAACAGCAACGGACATTATATTGTTGACTAATTTTAGGTAATTTAACAGTGTAAGACCCTGACAGTAAAAGATTATGAAAAATCTCACGACTTATTCCTCAAACCAATATATTATTAGTAGATAATTGACAATGTAACGTCAGTTTAAAAATAATTTTAAAATGACAGTGCTGAAAAAATGGCAGAGGTCACAATGCATTCCCCAAATGGCTCCACCGAACACCCAATCGGCGGAGTGAGTAGGTAAGACGCACCGACCACGCACAGGAATGTCCTCTGCTGGCCGCTAACACATCCCTGATGAATCGAGCTTGTTGACATTTGAACACGGGTCTCATGGTTAAATGTTAAATGTTCTAACCGCTAACTAACACATCCCTGATGAATCAAGCTGGGTGATATTTGAACCCTGGTCTCATGGTTAAAAGTTAAATGTTTTAACCGCTAACACATCCCTGATGAATTGAGCTTGGTAATATTTGAACCCGGATCCCATGGTTAAAAGTTAAATGTTCTAACCGCTAACTAACACATCCCTGATGAATCGAGCTTGGTGATATTTGAACCCTAGTCTCATGGTTAAAAGTTAAATGCTCTAACCGCTAACTAACACATCCCTGATGAATCGAGCTTGTTGATATTTGAACCCTGGTTTCATGGTTAAAAGTTAAATGTTCTAACCGCTAACACATCCCTGATGAATTGAGCTTGGTAATATTTGAACCCGGATCATATGGTTAAAAGTTAAATTTTCTAACCGCTAACACATCCCTGATGAATCGCGCTTGGTGATATTTAAACCCTGGTCTCATGGTTAAAAGTTAAATGTTCTAACCACTACACTGCACAATAATTGCATAAATACGCCCGTATCAACAAATGTTTCTTGTTTTTTTCTTCCACACACAAACACGTGTGTATGAATTTATCATTTTTATGATCGCACTCTTCACGTGGGGCCTGCGGCAGTGGAATATTTGTTTATCTCACAGAAGGCGCTTGGTTCGTGTTTGTTGGGCTTCTTATTATCTTGCCTTCTGCTTACCCACCCCGTTAACTCAGTCCTTTCTTTATCATCGCCCCAGAACTCAACAGAACGATCAACTCCGTGCTTCCATTTTTGCACGATATACAATCAGCAAAGCTTGTCGTTATTGTCTGATAATGTCACATTCCAACAATCCTGGCCGGTTTATTTTTAGATTTTTTATTGAGTTCAGAGGACAAAGGGGATATGTTGCTTTTGTCGAAAACATTAACCAAAATGTAAGTAGAATTCAGAATCGAATCCTGAAAGCCAGGCTTTCTCTCTCGTGGCATACACTTTAAAATATCAACTCCGTCAAAAGAAATTAATTCAACGCTTACATGAATTTATATATACAGAGTACGATTGATAAATTGTCGCCATTTTATATTTTTAATTTTGCGCATGCACCTAGTTTGTCTTTGATTTTGTCGACTGCACAGTATAGTAGGGTCATTTGGGGATAGTCTGTGAGAAAAAGAGCACAATGACGCAATACACTCTCCCAGAAAATTTGGAAACGGCATGATGTACTGATTGACATTCGCGCCGGAAGCTTCAATAGGAACATTTCAGAGTGTTTGGGTTCCAAACAAAGGACAGTGCATTGGATTCAGAAAGAGTTGTATGCGTCTAATGGTGATTACGAAGGTGTTGGGAGAGATCAATAGTGATAGCAACGTTATGCCTGCATTCATCTTTCAACAGGGTCTCAGACTCAACCCCGGGCCTTGAGGATGTAATGCTGCCCTGGGTCAAGAGTGTGGCTGCTGGAAGAAACTGTATCTGGAAATAGGACTGAACATGCCACACAAGCAGGAGAAGCCAGTCATAAATGTCAGAAAATTTATGCGGCCATATCACCCCTTACGTCTTTCATTTCACCCCCCCCTTGTTTGTTTGTTTATGTGTGGAGCACAGTTGAGCGAGAGACCAACAAAACTCCTTGTAACACCAATGGTTAACCGAAGACAAGGACTATGGCAGCATTCACCAACTTAAACAAGGAAACCGTCCAGAAGTGCTACAGGAGGCCGTGGTAGAAGTCAGTGGCGATTTTATTGAGTAAATTCACTCATTAATATTTCAAGATATTTTTGTGTAATTTTGGTAAATATGTCTGTTAAAATGCGATGTCTGTTATTTTCCTTTTGGCGTGCTTTAGACGACAATTTATCCATCGCGCCCTGTCTATCTGTTGAGATGAGATGTCAATGTTATTTCCCTTTTGGCGTACTTTAGACGACAATTTATCCATCGCACCCTGTCTATCTGTTGAAATGAGATGTCAATGTTATTTCCCTTTCGGCGTACTTTAGACGACAATTTATCCATCGCGCCCTGTATATCTGTTGAAATAAGATGTCAATGTTATTTTGATTTTGGCGTGCTTTAGACGACAATTTATCCATCGCACCCTGTCTATCTGTTGAAATGAGATGTCACTGTTATTTCCCTTTTGGCGTACTTTAGACGACAATTTATCCATCGCTCCCTGTCTATCTGTTGAAATGAGATGTCAATGTTATTTCCCTTTTTGCGTACTTTAGACGATAATTCATCCATCGCGCCCTGTATATATTTATATTTTTATTATTTCGAATGTTATTTTTTGTAGATAGCCGTATTTGAGTAGACGCGCCGTTTATTTTTAAAAATCAAATTCGCAGGCTTGTAGGCGAAAAAATACTGTTTGTTTTTTTTTATCTTTTCACTCCGATCAAGGTAATAAAGCCACTAAGGCGCAAGAGGGTTACTGAGTTTGAATGCATATGGGAAAAATAACATTAGGAAAGTGAACAATAAAACATAGTAATTAAGAAGACAGAAGATAAGATTTGCATTATTGAAGACCAAAGTCGACTGGAAAGAAAGAGTCCAAAAGTCAGAAGTGTGAAAGAAGAAGCTGTTAGCATAGAAATTATTGTAATTTCCCGCCATTTCATCTGTAAAACGATGAGACGTATCTGCCAATCTAGTACTGCGCCTAACTTCTTAAATTCCAAGTACAAAGAGGAAATATCAGCAAAACAACTGCCGTGAAAATATACCTAGAAATGGCAATGAACTGATAAATGAGTATTGGCTCAATTATAAACACCCAATACTTAACTATCATGGAGCAGAATAAATGTTTATGACCTCAAATATTAAGTTTCACTTTTGAGCTATTCCGAACATAATGAATGCTTGGAGGCTCAAATATAAATGACCATTATTCACCTATCCCTGAATCAAGTAAATTCTTATAGACTCAAATATAAGCGACCAATATTTACCTGTCCTTGAACCAAGCAAATAATAAGAGCAGGGTTTCTTGACATTTGATGATTCCAGACCCCCAATGGATTGTCCAATATGGTCCCATACACACTTCACTTGACTGTCGAAATAATTATCACCAATCCTATTATTTGCCAGTATGTCTTCCAAATATTTCAATCGCTTGAATTTACTGTATTTAGCTATGGATTCCTAGGAATAGAACGTGAAAAAAAACTATAAGCATTGATAACTTTATTATATTTTTTTTACTGAAAGCAAAATAAAGTTATAATTCAGTTTTATTACATAAGAAAAAGGAAGAGAACATAAATATGCAAGTTTTTTAGTATCTTGACTACGTAAAACAGACTTTTACTAATCTAGTGAGATACTTGCTGTTGTTTTTGTGCAATCAAAGCATGGAATCGTGGTACAGTTACTAACAAAGCTACTCGAATGTCATCTGACACATCAAGGCGATTTCTCCAGTTTGATTTCAGATTTAATAATGCAGTGAATCCTGTTTCACAGAGATACGTAGTTGTGAAGGGAACCAAAACATACATTGACCGAATTGCCAAACTTGGGTAAGCAGAGATTTGTTCACACCAAAACTGATTGACATCCATTCCAGCCCTTTCGAAACACCCCAGCATTTGGTTTCCATCCAAGAAGTATGGATACCCCCGGTTAAGAACCCTTGAATTAGAGACTCACATAAGGACCAATATTTATCAAACCCTGAACCAGGGAAATGCTTATAGACTCAAATATAAACTTTATAAAATTTATCTCTCTCCAAAATAAATAAATATTTATAGAATCAAATAAACGACAAATATTTACCTATTATCGAACAAAGTAAAACTTTAAGACTCAAATAAACAGGGCCATTATTTAGCTATTCTCGGACCAAGTAAATCCTTACAGGTTCAAATAAACAGGTCCATTATTTAGCTATTCTCGGACCAAGTAAAGTCTTACAGACTCAAATAAACAGGTCCATTATTTAGCTATTCTCGGACCAAGTAAATGCTTACAGGCTCAAATAAACAGGTCCATTATTTAGCTATTCTCGGACCAAGTAAATCCTTACAGACTCAAATAAACAGGTCCATTATCTAGCTATTTTCGGACCAAGTAAATCCTTACAGGTTCAAATAAACAGGTCCATTATTTAGCTATTCTCGGACCAAGTAAATCCTTACAGGCTCAAATAAACAGGTCCATTATTTAGCTATTCTCGGACCAAGTAAATCCTTACAGGCTCAAAAAAACAGGTCCATTATTTAGCTATTCTCGGACCAAGTAAACCCTTACAGACTCAAATAAACTGGTTCATTATTTAGCTATTTTCGGACCAAGTAAATCCTTACTAACTCAAATAAACAGGCCCACTATTTAGTTATTTTCGGACCAAGTAAATCCTTACAGACTCAAATAAACAGGTCCATTATTTAGCTATTCTCGGACCAAGTAAATCCTTACAGGTTCAAATAAACGGGGCCTTTATTTAGCTATTCTCAGACCAAGTAAATCCTTACAGACTCAAATGAACAGGTCCATTATTTAGCCATTCTCGGACCAAGTAAATCCTTACAGACTCAAATAAACAGGTTCATTATTTAACTTTTCTCGGACCAAGCAAACCCTTTCAGACTTAAATATAAAAGACCAATATTTACCTATCCCAGAATCAACTAAATGCTTGTAAAATCAAGTATAAATGTCCAATATTGTGTTGTCCCTAAACCAAGTTCTTATTTTTAATTTTGAAACTTACTGCGAGTCCATGTTGAACTTTCAGCACATCTTATCCCACACATCTTTCCGTCCAAGTTTCGCATTTTTTCTTTCTATGAATATGAGGGGAGTGTAAATCATAGCAAGTTTATCATTGTTATTTGGAATCTGCTTGAAAATAGACAGTACATCAATGCATACACACACACACAAACACACACGTACACGCCCTATCTTATCGTCACCCGAACCTCGAACCGCAATTCTTGTCGACCATCTTTTTTAGAGGAGGCTTCACCAACTCTTTAACAAATTCCTGTTTGATGCTATCACTCACAGGCCAACTTTGGATAGTCGGGTAATTATTTAATTTCGTTTTTTTCTGCCTCTTTGTTTTAAGGAGGGCAAAAAAATTGTCAATGCTTATGTTACAGGATGTAATGAATTATCATCTTTACACTTGCTAGGAATATCTGTCTCGCAAACAATTTTTTTTCTTTTTTAGTTTCATGCAAGTTTGCGTAAATATCACTATATCAGTCATAGATTTAGAACAATCAATAAATGTATTGGCAAATGTTTACATAAATGGAATAAAAGAAAAAAAACCTTCACCGTTTGAAGTTGTCAAAATGGTCTTGTACAATCTTGAGTTAATGGTTGTGAAGTACTTACATGCTGTGTGCGTTGCAGTAGGC